CTTCCGCCGGAACGGCTTCCGCGTATGACAGATACCGGAAGTGAGAGAAGTGTTTATTACATTTGAAATATGGATATTTTTCTTACAAAAACACATGAATTCACTACTGGAGGCCTTTATTCACCCCCCGAAGTCTTGTGAGGTACGTTTTATTATGGATGTGCGTGCTTTATTTGACGACTTGTGGACTGTTCAACTGCAACACCCGCTGACTGCAATGATAGAGCTTGGAATAGCCAGGACAATTTTTAATATAACTCCGACTGGATTCATCTGAAAGAAGAAAGTCATATACACCTAGGATGCCTCGAGGGTGAGTAAAACACAAGCTTATTTTCTTTTTTGGGTGAACTAACCCTTTAAATAGTTTTTCACCATTTTTGTTTATGGGATTTTTTTGGGTGGGCCTGAAATCATGTCTCGATGACGCACTGGAACCACTGAGCAAGGCCCGTCCCCTAACACTATAAGAGGTGTGTTCGACTTGAAGCAGTGCTGCGCAGATCGAATGTTGTATGACATCAAATCAAACTTCGACTGGATTCGTCTGAAAGAAGAAAGTCATATACACCAAGTATGCCTCGAGGGTGAGTAAAACACAGTCTAATTTTCATTTTTGGGTGAACTAACCCTTTAATGGTCTAACTCCACAATTCAGTACTACATAGTTCACAGTCTTTGTAACGTGTTTTCAGCAATACATTTCTCACATTTATAATGTGTTTAGAAACAATTCTCTGAATTGCCTTTACACAGACTTTAAAACAGAATCAAAATTATTTAAATGAAACCTGTTTATTTACATCCTTTAAGTCATTTAAGTCCTTACTCAAAAAAAAAACAACAACTCACATGTTGCCAGATGGCAGATTGCACTTTTTCCGACCCAGCTTGGTGGCCTGCTGTGTGAAATACTCATGCCGCTCTGATTTCTTCCACATGTAGTAGTACTCTACACACTCTGTGATTGAGCGCGTGCGGACCTGGGTGAAGGCAAATAAGAGATACCACATTAAAGGACTCTCATTTCTTAAAAAAAAAAAAAAGTATGAACATAAGCAGCCATCTCTACTGGGAAACAATGTATATTATGAGAAAACTTGTTCAGATTTGGGGGTTCACCTTGTTGGCCTGTATGAGGTTGAAGTTCTTGCCATAGGCACGGTAACCATATTCAAAGTTACGACACTCCTCCTCACTCCAGCCACAAAGCTCTTCTGGAACAATTATTATTATTTTTTTACAATAAAATTAACCTGCTATTCATCCTGGGATATGGTTGCATGGATTTAATTTTTTGACTGCCTACTAAATAAGGTTTGAGAAAGAAAATAAAACAAAGAGAGAAAAAGCAGGAATTACAGAGGCCTTACCATTGGAAACCTTGACATTAAAGCGATATCTTCTTAGTGCCTCTTCTTCATTGAAATTGCATTTCACTAGTTCATATAGAGCCTACAATGAAGAGATAGAATGAAAGACCACTGAAAGCAAGTTCAACCACTAAAAGATCAATTATGAACCACTAAAGACAAAAAGTTACAGTAAGGTACAAAAAGAATGAGACCACTAGTGAAAATGTGTCTATGTATTTTCAGAATGTCTTAATATTTGGCATGTTGCTGTTTTGCTTTAATGACAGCAGCACCAGAGCTGCATGAACTCCACAAGTTTGTGCAAAACCTGATGATAATGTTTTCCAGCATAACTTGGAGAAAAATCTTTCAAATAAATAAATAAAAACCTTGATTACTGAATTAAAATAGTGCAGAATCTTAAGCATTTAAATATCTTTTATTATTTTCTTATTCCATTGTTTGAAACATCACTACATATATTCACAAGAAAAAGAAGACATTTTGATCTCTTGCTCGCAGCAAATGGAATGCTTTTCCAGAGGGAGTACATTTTCATATTATGATTAAAGGGGTCATATGACGTTGCTAAAAAAGAACATTATTTTGCGTATTTGGTGTAATGTGTGAAAGCACGCAGGTGATGGAGATTTACCGCTGATTACAGAACCGGCTTTACTGATAAGATGCGCGTTAAATATCGCATGCGATTAATCGTGCAGCCCTAATGTAGACTTTAACATAAAAGTTCAGGGGTCCCACTGGGATCTATTCTTGGACCATTTTTTTTTTACATTAAAAGTAAACGAAAATTTTAAATTTTGTCTTGGCAAATTAGTGAATAATTAAATAATTGATGCACTAAAATTACCAAAACTATATAGAAATATAAAAAAAAAATGTTATTCCTAAATTAAAACAAAAACTGCAAATATTAAAATATAATATATAATAAAAAATATAATATCAATATATCTATACTTTAATAGTAAATAATACCAAAATAACATTGCTAGTAAGCTTCAGCCACCAAATTGTATGAAAAGACAAGTACTGCATCTGTGTGATTCAACCCAACCTGGTCATTGTCTTTGATTATATCTCCTGTGGTCAAAGTGTTTGTAGGTCCGTCGTCACTCCCTTTTCTCTGGACTTCAAGCAAAAACTTCTCTACAGCCAGACTGGACAACACATCTGGGGTCCACAATAACTGGTCCTCATTTTCATAGGCTGGGGATAACAGTAACAAAACAGGTGTGGGTCCCAAGGGAACTCGGCAGGTTGGTTATGCAAAACAGACCACTGAAACCACATCCCTGGAGCCAGCGTAAAGGACACCAGACAAGAGAAAACACTCACCTCTTTCATAAAAAGTGTGTGTACAGAGAGAAGGAATTATAGCCTGATACTGGGGGCCCACCATGATGTCCTGATAACCAAAACATGGCACAAAAGCATTACTACAATGTTTTTTAACATTAAGCAGACATTTTTAAATCATTATAAAATATTATAAATTCTATTTTATAGACACAACCATTGAAACATTTGGGGTCAATACTACTTTTTATTGATGAATTAAAAGAAATATCGTATGCTCACCCAGGCTACATTTCTTCGATTAAAAAATAAAAACAGTAATATTGTGAAATATCTAAAATAATGGATTTATAATAGATTTATAAGTGTAATAGAAATTTTATTTATTACTGTGATGACAAAGCAGCCATTACTCCAGTCTTCAGTGTCGCATGATCCTTCATTCTAATATGCTCAAAGCCTGGTGATATACAAAAGTACTACACTTTGATCAAATTAATGCATCCTTGCTGAATACAAATATGAATAAAAAAAACATGAAGATCATGTTTTCCAGCATGAAATCTTTAAGAAAGTATTGGCTAAGAAAACCTGATATTTTGATTTGTTTTGCACACACGGGCCTACTGATACTTTTAACTACAGGGTTTCACTGGGCTCTATTCTTGGACCATTATAATTTCCTAATACATATATAGCCCTATTTAGAAAGCCACGTAAATGTAATTATTAAAAGATGTAACTTGTCAAACACATCATGCACAATGATTTGTCATAGAGATGTATTAAACAAAATTCAATGAATCAGTCTTACAAGCAGTGACAAAAAGCTAAAAAAAAAATAAAAAATGTTGGTAATTGAAATGAAATAAAATAAAATATAAACATAGCAAACTAAAACATTCATCTTTTTTTTTTTACCTTGTGGCCATCACTGGAGGGGATCGAGGTGCTTTCTGAGTCATCTTCGGAGCAGCTGACTGAAGTGTCTTTGTCATCACCTTGTAAAGTAAAGAACCGTTTAAGAGTTAAGCCCAAACATTTTTGAAAACAGAAAATAGATTTTTCATAGAAAATTAACACACACTAAATGTCTTAAGTTGCCAGCAAGATATGTAACAGACAAATATGATTAAATTCCAAACGTATGTGCATTGTGTAAAAATCAGCTTTAACAAAATATAAAATAAAAAAGGCAACCAGGTTTGCTAAGGACTGACATTGCTTAGAAGAATATTCGCTTAGGAGTTGACAGTACAGGACAAAAAGTGGCATTGTAATTTGATGTTGTACCTCTTAGGTGACACTGTAAGAGGTCAGATGAATGAGACGTGACAGAGAGTGTGAGGTCATCAGCAGAGGAATGGCTGTCCACATCCTCCCCTCCTGAGAGTAGAGCTTTACCTATCTGAACCTATACAAAGATTTGCTTAATTTCCAGTTATAAGGCAGAAGTTTCACTTTCTAAGTTTCCTAAAAAATTGATAAGGAGCATTTTAAGATTCTACTGAGGAGGACAAGCAAAAAACCTTTCATAGATAAGTTGCAGTCACATTTATTTTTGTTCTGTGAATTTTTGTGGTCAATATCAAGTAATTTTAAATAGTAATCCATGCTATTGGGAATTTAACTTGCGGGCAAAAGATTTCACAATAGGTTCAATTTGGTCACAATAATTCGCCAGGTTGACCAACAGAAAGCTGCTTTGTTTAAAAGTGACTTATGTGTGAGCTGAATTTAATACATTGCTACACTTTTGAATAAGAAAATGGCCTTTTTTCTTGGTTTTCTTTTTTTTTTTTAAAGGTTACCACACCTTTAGAGTGAAATATCAAATAATTTAATAAACAGATATATTAGATACAACGTGACAGAGAGTGTGAGGTCATCAGCAGAGGAATGGCTGTCCACATCCTCCCCTCCTGAGAGTAGAGCTTTACCTATCTGAACCTATACAAAGATTTGCTTAATTTCCAGTTATAAGGCAGAAGTTTCACTTTCTAAGTTTCCTAAAAAATTGATAAGGAGCATTTTAAGATTCTACTGAGGAGGACAAGCAAAAAAACTTTCATAGATAAGTTGCAGTCACATTTATTTTTGTTCTGTGAATTTTTGTGGTCAATATCAAGTAATTTTAAATAGTAATCCATGCTATTGGGAATTTAACTTGCGGGCAAAAGATTTCACAATAGGTTCAATTTGGTCACAATAATTCGCCAGGTTGACCAACAGAAAGCTGCTTTGTTTAAAAGTGACTTATGTGTGAGCTGAATTTAATACATTGCTACACTTTTGAATAAGAAAATGGCCTTTTTTCTTGGTTTTCTTTTTTTTTTTTTAAAGGTTACCACACCTTTAGAGTGAAATATCAAATAATTTAATAAACGGATATGAGATTTATTAGATACAATTTTAAATAAGAAATAAAGTCACATTTGTGAGAAACAAAACCACAGGTTTAGATAAAATGTAATGTGTGGTTTTTTTTTTAGAAAAAGTTGATGTTTTTCACTATAGACATTTGGGGAAAAAATGTGACCACCTATATTTAATCAATTGAAGAAGTGAGCACTGAAGAAAGCATGAGCTGAAACATCTGCTCCTTGGTCTGTTTTAAAGACACTTTTCACTTTTTTGCATTTTTGTCAGCCTGTAGATGTTAAATTAAAGTAATTTTTGTGAGAGACCCTTGCCTTGGTCTAATTGTATGTCTTACAGTGTGCAGACATTTTTGGTTTTTTGGTTGATCAAATTTTTCTTGATTTACGCACCTGAGAACGGACTGGTTATCTTTTTGGAGCGCATACAATATCTTTTTTGATACACCTATATTTAAAAAAATAGCTTTTTATCCACACTTTGCGACATGGAGGTAAGCTTTTTCTTTGAACGTGCGAGACTTCCGATTCATTAATTGCTATAGGTAAATGACTGGAAGAATAAGAAAGTTCAGTAAACTATTTGTACTACAAACTGTGTTTATGATCATGATAATATAAAAATAATTATTTTTATTAATTATTACAATACAAATACCAATTTGTAATAACAGGCAGCATAAACGACTGCTTTTATACAGGTAAAATAATTGTAAGTGAATGACACTGGAAGCCTCGCACATTCAATTTACATATGGTCACACCCACTCTTATGTTAAAAATAAGATAGATAAGCGCAGATAGTTACTTTAAACAAATACTTTGATTATTTTAGTGATAGTGACCTTGTCCAGTGTCATTTCAGGCAGACTGGCTGCCAGCTCATTCGGCTCCTGTTGTTGTTGCAGGACAGGATCAGGCATGTTGTACCCATAAAGTGCCAGCAGTTGCTCTAGGGGCATCTCACCACCCTGTGGAAAGGTGATCGAAACAATCATATTTTCCCTCTTATTTATCAGCATTAACCGGAATCTAATGCAATCTATCAATGCATAACAAGAAATTGTTCCACTCACTGCATGGGACTTGGTTGCCATCTTTATCGCCTGCCTCCGCAGGGCCTCCAGGCTCCTGTCCTGCTCCTCTAGGAACGTGGTTGCCCGGGGAAGGGCCTCCAGCGGCCCCACATAGCCCTGGTGGAAAATGTCTACACGACCGAGCCGGTGGTCCTTGGAGCCCATTCGCACAGCTTAAAGCACAGTGAGAGCAGATAATTCTCAATAAATATATTACATCAAAATCAGTTACAACAATAATTGTTTAAAATGAAGACCAGATGTTAACAAGAACTGACTTCATACATCCACTAAAATTACATTGGTAAATGTTGGTTAAATTTAAAATTAATTGGAGAAATGTCTAAAATAAACTTCTGAGAAAAGGTTTAGGATAAATTTTGGCAGATTGGTTTTATATTTTGATGCTAATGCAATGGCATTCAGAAATAATCGTAAAAAAAATCTTAAAAGTGACGTAGGTGTCCAAAGATCTTTTGAAGCCCCTGTATTTATGGAGGTAAAAGCCACTAGTTACAACATCTCAAATCCACCTGGTAAATAAAAGTTATGACAGACAGAAAATAAATAAACCAGTATGATTATCAATAACACTTCTCACATAGGCTACGTCTTAACATCTGAAATGAAGTACTTACACAGTAAACCTTATGACAGGTTAACTCGTACAATATCCTTGCAAACGTTTAACACAGAAAGCATAAATTGCACAATAGCGTAGTTAAAATTATTGTTAATTACTCTTCACAGACTTTTAGACTAATTCAAGACATATTTTTTTATGATGAGCATAGTGAAATATATTCAAAACTCAGCTGTGAAGTAAATGCTCCAAGAGAAGATATCCAGAACTTATTAGACAAAAGCTACGAATTGTATTAGATCTTTCAGAATATAAGCCCTTACAAAAATGTAGGCTATCATGGTAGACATAGTTTACAAGTAATAGATACAGTTTCAAATGTGATATTAACCTTCAAGAAACTGCCATATCACCACTATAAGCCCACTATAAGTAACATCTAGATAAACAACACATATTTAAAGTGTCTTTTCTTAAGTTTCTTGTCGTCATAACCGCTAAACGCATTTGTATATTTGTATGTGTGAGCTTTACTGAAGTTAGTCACTCAGGCGCTTTCCTGTAAGTCAGTGCTGAACATTTGCACCGTGACTCTGAACCGGTGCGAGAAGGAAACACTTTTAGGGAAGTCGAGGAGGCAGTGACAGTATCTGAAGTTTTGAAACTTTAGACCTGCCATCCGTCCCGCTCCTCGCGCACCTGGGACACACTTCAGCACCAGCGCTCTCGCCGCTCTCCCGTTGTTTCGAACGGCGCTCGATCTGGCGAATTAAACGCTCGTGAACTCGTACAGACGTAGAGATAGATAGAGTGGCGAAACGCTGAGGAGTGCTCCCATTTTAACTTCCTCCTTATTAATGACCGTCTATCTTTGCCGTTTTCTGAGTCGCTCGATCAGACGGGCCGGGTCTTAAGCTGTCCGTTAATGCGCGGCTGGTTGTTAGAGTGTATCGGAGAGGCTGATTCATTTAATCATTGTGTTGTTCTTCCCCCGAGCCCCGCAGCACACTTACCTCCGCCATTCCGATTCTGCGCAAGCGGTGGAATGCCCGGATGTTGTGTAGACCTCCTATTGAACTATACATTCTGACTAGCTAACACTCATGACAGTCACCAAACCATCTCAGATTAATAATACAGGACCTCATCTGCCGTGTATATATCTGTGTTGAATGGAAATACATCCCACCGGTAATATTTGTAAGCAAAATATACTTTAGAGTTTGAGGGTTCTAAAATAGATTTTGTATTTTCAAAGTTATCGACTATGAATGAAATTGCATTTGTTTTGACTTCACGTGAAGATTTTATATGGCTAGTATAAAGTCATATAACAAGAGATGTTTGATTTCACTTTGCACCTCTAAAAGATGATGTCAGTGTCAAAGATCCAAATGTTATAATACTATATATACTGTCACGGGTCATATGATATTCAAAGTCTATTAGTAGCTATATTTTTAAGACAGCTCTGTCTCATTTGATCATCGACATACCATTCAACATCCTCATACCATTCAAACGCTTAGGGTAAGAGTAACAATTATGTTACTTTGTTTTTGGAGGATTCTTTGGGATCATATTGAGCAACTGAGCATTTTTATTTGTATTTTCTATTTTATTCTGTAGTTTTCCATTGGTTACAATATTGACCACGAATAAAACATTCTTTCACTAACTTTTTGGATTGATTGATTGATTCATTCATAAATATTATTATTATTTAGATTATTATTTAGAAAAGGAATGTAGTTTGTTTTAAGGAGTAAAATACACATTCTCTTTAAGGAATTAAGGGAAAAAATGGGATTAGATTAGTTCCACATCTGGGTAGGTTTTTATATGCTGTTATTAATTTGTTTTCTTGATTTTTGTCTACAAATTAATACATTATGCTTTTATCTTAAATTTACCATAATGCACAAAGATGTAAATCAATATTCAAGATAAGAGGGGAACAAAATGTCAAATTGAAGAAATTAACATTCAAAATCCTACCCTCTCAATGTCTACAGTGGTCACAGACTTGGTAAAGTGTCCATATGATATTTACGTAACTTTAAAAACTGGACTATTCAATTCTAATACATACAGTTTGGCATGACATTGATTTATTTTATCCAAAGGCTTGGTAAACAACCCCCCCCCCCCCTCCCTTAGATGAGCTCTTCCAATATTAGTCTATTGTACAGATCTTGATTTGTATATAAGGCCTGAATTACACAAAACAGGAACTTGCATGTGCTCACAGGCTGTGTTGTTGTGGCATTGGATGGCAGACTCCATGTGATCTGTTGCACTAATCACACATGGAGATTCATTGGAGAGGATGAAAGGGGTGTGGCGAGTATGTTACTCACAGATAAACTCATCATGTGTATCAATGTGTGTCTATCAGTATAGGTCGTCTTTTTGCCCTGATGTTCTATAAGCTATGCTTCCTTGCCCAAAGCCCAATCCTAGTGACTAACAGAAACCATATCACTGGTTGCAGATCAGAAATGAACAGTAACGTCTGCAAACACCTGTGCATCAGTGTCTCAGAGGATGTGGTCTGACTGAGAAGAGTTGACAAGTAATTTGCTGTGGAACAATTCAACATGTAGAGAAAGCCATAAAAAACAGTTCAACATCTGATTCACAGTGTAATGTATCTCTATATTAGAAATTATAGATCAAATTACATTTTATTTACACCTTTATGAAGTCCTAAAATAGATTATGAGATCTTATTGATGAAATTATATAGTACTTTTTCTCCGCTGTATTTGACTTTTTTTTTCTGGCTACAATTGACAAATGGAAAAATATGACTGTATAACCACATTCTTGAGATGTAGATTGATGGAGGATCATTTTAATGGAGAGCAGATTTCAGCTGATTCTCATATATTTCAGTTCTGTTGACTCTTGCATGTCAATTGATCCAGAAAGCTTTTATTAGAGATAATAGAGCCTGTTTAATATCATAAAATCATTAATTAATCATATTCGTTGCCTTTAAAATGAGAAACAAACATTTACACGGCAACCTTGGATCATCCAATGACGCACGTTCATTAGGCTAGGGCTGCACAATTAATCGAATTTCTAATCGCAATTACAATTATGGATGCCACAATTACGTAATCGTTCAAAGCGGCAATTAATCGATCAAAGTCCACTTATGTTATTCTGCACGCTTAAGATGTTTTTTTCTACTTAAATATGAAATACCATTCATATTTTTACTTTTTTTTATAATTTAAAGAAGAAACCAATCCAATGTACAGTATATTTGACATTTGAGGCTTAATACTATAGAAAAGCACTAAAGGTTTTTCACTTAGAGTGTTTTCAGCTTGTTTATTTTCATATAAAAATACAGCATGCAGTTGCATCAAACAATGGTATAAACATCATTCAATGTAAATTGTGATAATCGTAATTAATAATCGCAATTACAATTTCAAGGGAATAATCGACAATTATGATTTTTGTCATAAGCGTGCAGCCCTAGGCAGGGCAGTCTGTTTTCTCAACCAATAGCAGTCAGGGAAGTGTTCTGGAAAAACTGTCATTTGGGCACTCCAAATGGCTAATTAATGTATAAGAAACACTCCGGTTACTAACATATCCTCGGTTCCCTGAGATAAGGGAATGAGCGTTGCGTTGACATGCTTATGGGGAAACTCCTGTTTACTCTGATACTGAAGCCTGATTTGTTCACATTTGTGTAGCTGCACGTTTCGTCAGAATCTTTCAACTGAAGCGACAGTCATCGATTCGCGTGCAGCCTTATAGCACGGCAGCCTACGCAACGCTCGTTCCCTTATCTCAGGCAAGTGTTCCCTTTTTAGCGGTTTCTCTTGTTGTGTTGACACGCTCATGGGGAACACGTCCAATAGTGCTGTGCTATAAGCAAGTGCAGAACAAAGCTGATCTGTGAGCCCAGCCCCGGAGCACTCTTACTGAGGGCTCCTGTAAGCATGAGCCAATAATGAGACCAAAGCCATTTAGGCTGAGGACTACATAACATAGCCCTCTCCACTTACAAGGGGATTAGGTAGAATTAAGTGGACAAAATCCATGCCTTCAGGGCAGGGATGTCCAAGTTATAGAACCTCGTGAAGGTAGGCAGTGATGACCAACCGGCGGCCGCACAAATATCACCAATAGAAATCTCACTGGACCAAGCCCAGGAGGAGGCCATTCCTTTGGTGGAGTGGGCCCTCACACCCATAGGGCACTGCAAGCCCGCTGAGGCATAAGCCAGCTATAGCATCCACTATCCAGCAAGATAGTCTCTGCTTCGTAACTGGCTGCCTTTTAGAGCACCCTCCAAATCACACAAAGAGCTGCTCTGAGTGTCTAAACAGGCCAGAAAACATACACTTTAAGAGCCCAAACCGGGCAGAGTGGATTGGGACCCTGCTCACCATCTGAATTGTGGCGTGCCAGAAGGGTGATGACTTGTACTCTAAATGGAGTGGAGAGCACTTTCGGCACAAAGCCATGTCTCGGTTTGAGGATGACTCTACAGTCGTCTGGCTCAAACTCAAGACAGGAAGCACTGACTGACAGTGCTTGCAGGTCACCCACTTGCTTGACTGACACTAGAGCCAAAAGGAGGGCTGTCTTAAGTGTCAGGGGCTGCAAGTCGGCCAACTGGAGAGGCTCAAAGGGAGGGCCCCGTAGTGCCCTGAGCACTATAGACAAGTCCCAAGTCGGCACAGAATGAGGACAAGGCAGATTCAATCTCCGAGCTCCCCTCAGAAACTTAACGACTAAGTTGTTTCTGCCGACTGATTGACCAGCCACGAGAGAATGATTTGCCATGATGGCTGCCACAAACACTTTGAGCATGGAAGGGGTGCACCCCTTATCCAACAGCTCTTGTAGAAAGGTTGGGACATGTCACAAGAGGACGGGTCCTCATCTCGTGCTGCACACCAGTCAGAGAAGACTGACCATTTAAGGCATAAAGACGTTTTGTAGACAGAGCTCTAGCCTCCAAAATGGTTTTAGTTACATTCGTTGGGAGCTGCAAAGACTCCCGTCGAGGGGCCAAACATGAAGGTTCCACAGCTCTGACTGGGGATGCCAAATCATGCCCTTCGCTTGCGAAAGAAGGTCTTTCCTCAGTGGTATCAGCCAAGGGGCTGCCGATAGCAGCTGAATCAACTCGGGGAACCACATCTGATTCCTCCAGAGTGGGGCCACCAGGAAGACTGGGCATCTGACTTCCCTGACCCGGGCATGGTTTTTTTCAAGGGGCCAAGGCTCTGATGCAGCAGTGGGTTACCCTGAGATGAAAACGTCCCAGGCACCAAGCTTGGGACAGAACATGTTCCTATAACCTATTTCTTCAGCGGTGGTAAGAGTGGTGCGCTGGTGAGTTCCTCGTGAACTGCCGGCAGGAACAGAGTGGGCCATTGGTGGGAGGAATGTTGATGGCGTCCCTTCAGGTACCACTTGTCAAGGAGGTTGTGGGCAGGCTCTTCTGGAGCCGACCAAGCCAGGCTCTGATGCAGCGGTGGGATGTGAGATGTGAGATACCCTGAGATGTGCCAAGCGTGAGACAGAACATGGGCTTTGAGCCAGTACTGAAGGGGCCGCATGTTGAGCAGGTCTAGACTAGAGGAAGCGGCCGACATGAGATCGAGCATTCTCTGGAAAGCCCTGAGGGGACATGAAGTCCCCTCAGTGAATGACGATGCTAGTTGCTGAATAGTCAGGGAGCGTTCCGGCGTAATCCATACCTGCATTTGGGCAGAATCGATAACCGTCCCCAGAAAGACCACACGCTGGCTGGAAGACAAAGAGCTCTTGGCTAAACTGATTCTCAACCCAAGGCGCTCCAGTTGGCTGAGCAGCAGCGACCTGTGAGAGATGAGTTCCCATTCTGACCTGGCTAAAACCAGCCAATCGTCGAGGTAGTTCAAAATGCGGATTCCCATCTGTCTCAATGTCTATGCACTTCGTAAAAGTGCGCAGGGCCAGGGAAAGTCCAAATAGCAGGACTGTGTACTGATAGGCCACTCCCTTGAATGCGAATCTCAAGAACGGTCTGTGGGGCTATCTGGATATGAA